GCCTGGCTGGTGTGGAAACAGCACCACTTTTCTAACTTAAGGGCCAGGAGACAGGACTGTTCAGATGTCCCCCGTCCCATGGTTCCTCTGCCCATCTGGGTGTTCGATCTCTTTGCCACCCACCTTTGGATGAGGCCTGCAGTGTTTCAGATGGTGGTTCCTTGTGGGAATTTGCAAGGGCAGGTGGGGGGGTGGGGGCGGCGGAAGGGGGACCCCTCCTGGATCTGATATAAATCACACTCTGGGAGAGAGGGCCAGACCTGGTGCTGGTGAGAATCCTGCCCACGGGGTCTCTGTGGCGGGTGGAGAGAGTGAGACAACCGGGAGCCAGGTGTCCAGGTAGGGATGTCCCCAAGCCCTGATAAGATCCCATCTCTCAGGGGTGGGAGGCCCAGCCAGGCAGGCAGCACTGCTGCTCTGTCATTGGTTGCCAACAGCAGGAGTAGCGTTTGTTCTGGAGCCAAAGCCTCCGGGCAGAATCCAGGTGCTCAGAGGGGGTGCTTAGGGAGGCTGCCCCATGGGGCAGCTGGGCAGGGGCGCCCCGGCCCTCCCTCTGCTGGGCACCACAGAGTCCCCCTGCCCCCTCCCACAGGACACCTGCCCTTTCCTGGGGAGAGGGCCGGCTCAGCCCTGCTCTCTGTGAAGGAGCCGGGGTGGCCTGGCCCAGGGCTGGTGCTGTCTCAGCTGGGACGGGACATGGGGGCCCTTGTCCCCCCTGCAGTGGTGAGGGGGGCTGCTGGTCACCCTGCCTAGCTTCTCTGGGTGCTCAGAACAGACCTTCCCTGCTGCAGGCTGGTGAGAGGCTGAGCTGGTGGGGGCTCAGGAGACAAGGGGAAGTGGCCCCAGAAGGCAGTTCCTGGCCTGCACAGCTCAGCCTGGGGCCATTTCTCCAGCTTAACACCATGCATTCCCTCTGGGGCCCGGCTGGTTCCAGGCCCCCCACTGCCCCACCTGATCCCATCGCCTGTCAAATTTGTGGTAAATTTGTGGTCCATCTGTTGGCTCTTCTCCCTCCCCAATCCCCTTTGCTGTACTTGCCCTTGCCCTTTGCCACCCAGGCTTCCCATGGAAGGTTGCTCTTCTGCTAGTATTTCTGTGCGTCTGGTTCTAGGGTCAGGTGTGGGCCTATGGACAGACACCGCAGGGGTGCTCCTGAGAGCGTGGCCGCCCAGTTGCTGAGGGGATGCCACTGGGAAGGTAGTGGTGGCACCAGGAAGGAGAGGCCCGCCCTGGGCAGGTGGGTGATGGCTGGTGATGGTGGTTCCGCAGCCTTTGGCTGGGCGGCAGCTCTTGAAATGAAAACGGCCCTGATTTCCGAGGCAGAAGCTCTGGTTCCAAAGTGGGCGGGCAGGAGCCTCGTGGATTTATTTTCTCACTTAAAGTAGGTGGGTTTGCCCTAGCTGGTTCGGCGCAGAGGATAGAGCATCGGCCCTCGGACTGAAGGGTCCCGGGGTCAATTCCGGTCAAGGGCACGTACCTCAGTTGCAGGCTTGGTCCCAGCCCCGGTCGGGAGTGCGTGCGGGAGGCAACCAATTGGTGTGTCTCTCTCACATCGATGTTTCTCTCTCTGTCTCCCTTCCAATCTCTAAAAATCAATGGAAAAATATCCTCATGTGAGGATGAACAACAACAACAAAAGTAGGTGGTATATCCTCTTTTTTTTTTTACTAATGGGGAAACTGAGGCACAGAGATGTGAAGTGGCTTGCCCAAGCTACCCATCCAGCTGGATTCAGCAGGCTCCTGGTGCCTCCCTGCCGGCTGCCATGAGGGAACCCCGGGGCTGGTGTTCCCTTGTCGTGTGCTCTGGAAGGGGCCTTCCATGCTGTGGCCCCACAGCCGGGGGCCAGCCTGCTGTCATCTTGGAGGGGACTCTGTGGAGCTGGTCCTTGCTGGGAGGGGTGGGGGCAAGGCAGCTCCCGGGCAGGCCGTGGAGACCCATCTCTGACTGACAGAGCCTGGGTGAGGCAGGGCTGATGGGGGCCAGTGCCAGGGAGCAGGCCCCAGACCAGACTTTACAGGATGAAGCAGACCACTTGGGCATCCCACTTGGGAGGGTCTTGGATCCGGGGGCCGGGAGAGAGGGGGTGACCTGGCAGGGAGGCGCTGAGGTGGGGCTGAGGAGGCTGCCAGCGTGCGGGTAAGAGGGTAAGATCGGGTACCGTCACCCTCGTTGCCCGCCTTGTTTGCGTGTGCCCAGGGGGGCCGTCCCATCTGTTCCCTTGTTAGGGACTTAACAGACAGGCTTCCAGGAGATTAATTAATGCCAAGCTGCTGACACATCCAGCAGCATGCCTGCCCCAGGCTCTGTCCTGGCAGCACAGATGCCCCGCTGACTCCAGAAATGCTGCTCCTTCCCACCCGGCGATCCTGGAAACATGGGGGGCCATGTGGCTGGCACAGCCCTGGCCCTGAGTCTGGACGGCAGGAAGGGCTTAGGTCGTGGCAAGCAGCCAGAGATGGTCACAGGACATTCCACCCTGGGCCTGGCCCCATCACCCACCCCGAAACTTCTCATTTGTCCCTGGCTGTGCCCCGGGCTTGCTGGGTGACCACAGCCAAGCCGCTTAGCCTCTCTGAGCAACGTTATTTTCCCATCTGTAAAATGGGTGTTGAACTGGCTCATCCCTGAGGTCACCCCCACCCCATGTCTGAGTCTGAGTCTTCGTTATCTGTTAATTACCTGATTCGGAGTGGCCCCTGCTGGCACTCCCATTGCCTGCCCCATATCGACTTCCCCTTGGCACCCCTCACTGTCATCTGGCGGTGTCCTCTGCCCCAGGCCCAAGTGACGGCTAGTTCTCCTGCCCCTGCTCCTGGGGCACTGCATGGCCCGGCCAGACCCTGAGCTTCCCAGCAGCATGGCTCTACAATGGCCACCTCCAGCAGGCCCGGCACATTCCTCAGGCTTATCTGGGGGCCCGCCCGCTGGACTCTGCCCTCCCACCCAGGGAGCAACACCCAGAGGAGCTGCTGAAGAGTTCCAAGGGCTGGGGCAGGGCCCAGTGGGCTGGAGGTGCTCATTCTCAGCTTCCTGCCTGGGGCTGGAGAGAACCAGGTAGAGGAGGGGCGGGGGAGCGGGATAGGGAAGTGGGGTCTGCTGAGACCAGCCAGGCAAATTGTTCTTAACCTCAGGGAACGTGGGGTTCACTCAGACCCCAGACTCTGTGCCATCTTCTGGGGAACCCCCACCCCCATCTCTGGAAAGGTGCCCGTGGGCCTCCTGTGCATGAAGGGGGCAAGTTGCCCTCCGCGTCTCCCCCAAAGTTGTAACAGGAGATTGGGCGGGACAGCAGCGCCGGGCCACCTCCGGCCCCGCCTCCAGTGCGGACCCAGCACGGTCCTCCCAGGAAGGGGTTAACTGCTAGCCCCAGCCTTGAGGGAGGGGACTGGGCTGGACCATTTTCCTCGCTGCCGCCTCCACCTCGGTTTTCCTGAATGGTTCTGTCGTCCAGGGGTGGAGAGGGAAGGGAAGGAAGAAGGG